CCAAGACCATCTGGTCACGTTTGTTGCGGTTAGTAGCATCTAACCCACTTACAAAACATCGAATCATAGCATTGATTCTTCATTGGACTGGCTCTGAAAGAGCTGTCTATCCAATGGTCACTCGGCGTTGCAAACAAGGTTATTGTGACGAATATATATATATATATATATATATATATGCATAAAGAAAGCATAGATCTAAATGTTGGGAAACATTGATCAGACGTTTAGACTTTGCTGGTTTCTCCGGCAGTGTGAATCCCTGAATCCAGTTGATTATCAAACTCTGGACTGCACAAGCAAAACTCAATTTTACTACCACTCCCTTCTGTAGCACGGAGGTCCCTCATCCAACTGATTTCAATAAGTAGAAGTCTTGTGTTGTGAGATTCACTTGTGGCAGTCATAACCGTGGAACTATATTGAAAGGGCGGAACGGGGCTGGGGTGCAAGTATAACCCACTCAAATATGAACCAATTGGTTTAGTGGATCACTTTTTTTCACACACAAGAGCCCAATCAAAACGGCCTCATAAGAGTGCCAGTCGTCTTGGACTGTGGTGATGTAACGTGACTCGGGAGGCTCATGTTGGATCAAATAGCTATCGTGTTATCGGACGGAAGTGGACCGGAGCTAAACTAATCAATTTATCGCTCTGAAGGACGTGTATTCGAATCCCACCACCAACACCACCTGCTTAGTTGTCCCAATGTGTGTTGTGTGGCAGTCCCTTGATCGGCCTTTTTCCCCTCCATGACAATTGCATCATTACCTATTCAACAAAAGAAAGCAAAAATTTAAAAATGTGCAGAGATCGAGTTTCTTTCCTTTTATTTGTGTCGTTGAACTGCTTTGCATTATTGCGTTTATCAACCCTTTTCTACAAATACCCAACATCTCATGTGTTCAAGCATCGGTCCCTTGATCCAGTGCCTTACCACAACCGGAAGTGAACAGGGATAGATAACATTAGATCCTTATAGGAATGTTTGGATTAGCCCCAACGAGAGAAAACCAAAATAAACAATTTTTCGATTAAGGACGTTTCGACCCTCTTGGAAGGCCTTTTTCAAGCCAATATCTTTGTGCAGAAAGCCAACCCAAACTAGTAGGTATTTGTCCTACTCCTCTGAACAGCCCATAACTATTAAGACTACTGTGACAACCAGCCTCCTAACCAGAGCAAGCCAGCTCGTCTCAAACAAAAAGGACAAACGCAACGAAGTTCAACTAGTCACAAGAGAGTTGGTGGATAACGGCTATCCACCAAGTTCTCTAAAGAAAATTCAAAAGTTCTTAAAAGATCCACAGAACCGGAAATCAAAAAGATCGACTGGATCGCTACTAGTACTACTACCTTATCGCCGGAATACGCCAGAAGACATCTAACGAATATTGAAGCGTTTCAATACACGGGTCGCATTTCGAGCAACCAACATCCTTCCTTCGTTCACTCTTGATGCAACTTAGGGATAGACGACCAAAAGCTGATCAATCGAATTTCATTTACAAGGTAAGATGTAAACAGTGTACACGTGCACGTACGTTGGTCAAACAAGTCGACAACTAACGGTGCGGATAACCGAACATGATAGAAAATCCAACCGACCGCTCCCACGGTTTCACTCACAGTGTTTTTTAATGACCGCTTGTTAATTGATTTGAAAAAGACCTTCCAAAAGGGTCGAAACGTCGTCAAACGAAAAATTGTTTTTTTCTCATTGTGGCTAATCTACACATTCCTCTAAGGATCTAATATTATGAGCACGATGCACAATTTCTTCGAAGACACCCGTTCCAAATTTGGATCTAATACCGTGAGAGATAGATCACATGAGATTGTTCAGTTTAGTCAACAAGTTGTTACAGTTCAGTCGGTCTCCTCGCCCATTCTGCTCCCCCACCCNCCACCCACCCACCCCCTCGCCCAATAGCAATAAAATGAATCAATTCACAAAGTTCATAAAATAAAATAATTTTTACAGATTGTCTGAAATAAAATGACAGTGCAAGGAATGTGTGAAAAGGTTACTGTGTTTGTGTGCGTGCGTGCTTGCGAGTGTACGATTAATTAGTTGTGTTCACGTGGTTCTTAAAGATCTGTTAGTACAACAAGAGTAGACTGCAGCTCCTCAGTTGGGAATAACCCGTGTCGAAGTACACTACTGTGTGATTGATTACCTTTACTGATATTTTAGCCGAAATTACTCGCTCACTGGCGCGCGCAATCTCTCTCTCATAGTACTCTTGTGAGATTTGAAAACTCAAGCAACATGTCTGGACATTCCTGTTTGGGCAAGTGCATTTCCGCGGCCGATGACTGGCACGTTTGTGCCTGTTGGTGTTGTTGTTGTGATTCTTGGCATGTGACCTTTTGTCCATACACGTCTGCGATTCGAGCACTGTCGCCGGCCAGATCACTTGTGGCTCGAACCAGGGATGTGACAATCTTAGCATCACATGTGCTCACTGCCGGACTGCGCGGGTGGAACTCGATTCCGGTGTTTCGTCTGTTCATCCCCCGTGGTCGACGTACATGTGTACCCAGACGCGGTCGCGGTCCACCCATACTGGGGCCCGTCACTCGCGGATGCCCATCTCGTTTAGCCGTTCCACGGCCGGCACACGGAGACAAACAATTTTTCTTGTACGGATTCATGGTCTTGTGATGACTTTTGTCAAAGTGGCGACCGAGGTCCCACTTCCATTTGTACGACAGACCACAAATCACGCATCGGTGTGGACGTTCTTTGGAATGAACCATGATATGTTTCTGTAATTCCGTGGGCCATTTGGCAAAATAGTCACAGTAGGGACAAGGGTAACCGATGGAAATCAAACCGCCACGATTTGCTGTTTGCGGATCGGACTGCATGTGCCGGGCACGGGAGAGACAAGGGAGAGAGAAATGAAGGGAACGAGATGAACGAGGGAAACGATCAAAAGTTGTGATCACAAACATCATGTGTGAACATATTGAGGAGAAAACGTCAGAATTATTTGTTATGTTCAATCAATTAAAAAAAATTATTTCAATGAAATGAAGACTTTTGAACTCCCATTTTGATAATATGAATCCAGTGCATGAGGAGTTATTAAAAAGAATACCATTGTAGTTTTTTAATCCTTGTTTTATAAAACACCTTCTACGATTCCTTGTCTTGTTGCTCGGTGGATCAGAAAGAATCCTGGTAATATAATTACAGGCCATGAAAAGATTTGTAATAACCGACAAAGAGCACAAAGACAGAGCATAATCCTGTTTGGGAGACATCAACAGCAGTGCATACTTTATGTGTCCCCCTGAGGGTTCGAACCACAAACACCTGGGTTCGGACCTCAAACCCTTACTCCTGAGACACGGCCGACGGTCACTGCCTTGTGCGAATGACTCATTCAATTTAGATGGTGAATGTTTGGATTAGCCAACTCGGTTTTTCGCAGACACTGTTGAAGATTTTGCGGGTTGGTTTAACTCCTTAAGGAGATCGCTAATCTCCCACGCGGTAAATACATTTAAATGCAATGAAATCTTTTGCGAAGACCCACACGCAAGATCCTCAACAATGCCTGGTGTCTGTGAAAAAACCGAATGAGCTAATCCAAACACACAGTCGATAATTACAGGCGGTTTTGGCGGTACCGTTCGGTCGTTCTACTCGAGGTCGCCCAATAGGCCTTTGCAACCTGCACGTGCACGATAGCAGAATTGCTCCGGACAAGTCAGTGAGTGGTCAGTAGTTGATTCATCCGCCTCCTCGGAAAAGCTCTATCTACAAGAGGTATTGACTTTATTAGTGGCCGGTTAGATCTGCTGTTTCACTGTATGGTCCTTAAACTCTTAAGGTGATTTTTATGGCTGAATACAAAGAGGCTGCACATCCTTGGCATCAGTTTTGGTGGGCTTCAACTCGCCTCACTTGTTGTCAGCCATCGATTCGGTGAAGTTTTTCCTATCTGCTATCTTCAGGTGTCTTTGGTACCGTGCAGCCCCACCCCGTGACACTAGGGTAAAACACTTTACAAATACACCTTTTCCATCAAACTTTGACCAAAACCCGCATTCTTTTAGCCTCCACCGGTAAGTCTTTAGCCAAAACCCGCATCGGAATAGTT